GCAATGGCGAGGGAAAAAACCCTCATTTATAACCAGTGACAACTAAACCTATGAAGTTTTTAAAAGAATGTGATTGTTGTCAAAAGGAATTGGGTACAACAATGCTGTGTTCAGCTCTGGTTCCACTCAAAGCCATGGCTGAGGGGCTCTGGGAAAGCTGCTGGAAGGCTGGTGGGCACAGACCAGCAAGAAAGTGAATTTTGCATACTGTACGGATCATCGCTCAGTTCAGGGCAGTCATATTGAATCTGTGATCAACCAATTGTGCTTCATGAAACCGTCAGCCCTCATTTATGTCTAGCTGTTTTCTTCTGTCCTGCTGTAAACAAGCTCAGCTCTGAGCTGTCTCCCTACCCTTATCTGCTTACGAAGATCACACAGACAGACCTCATCAGCAGCCTTAGAGTTAAAGTTAAAGCTACTGCTTCCAGACAGCAGTCCCTATGCAAGCTGGAAGTCAAAAAGAAGAGCAACTTTGGAATGACAGAGTTTTAGTTCCTTTTAGGAAATGCATACCTTAGATTCATACACATACTGGCATGTTATGTCTCTTTCATGAAATTAAATTAGGTGTTCCTAATATGAACAACTGTTTCTAACATCAGCAAACTAGCTCAGCAGATTCATCCATGGTTTTGTTTATGGGTTGGTTGTTGTTGGGTTTGTGTTTTTTTCCTTTGGGGCCCTGTTTGAATACAGCCTAAATGAGAAGTAGCTGGAAATATTGTCAATCTGGTAGAGCTCCAAGAACATAATAATGCCTGAAATGCTCTGAGGACTGTAATGATGGTAAACAGGAACAGGTATGTTGGCTTCTGTTCTCATTCACTTCAGCAAGAGCATTAGCCTTTCAACATAAAGCAAAGTACAGTTTTCAGAGAGTGGTTCTGTTACGCAGAAAGGGATAGAGCCTTAGTAAAAACGTATTCCTCTGTGAATGCCTGCACAAATGCTTAGTTGGTATTTACAGCATTTAATTCTTGCAACCAGCTGCTAAGTCCCTGTTAAGGCTTTCCTTTATGCAGCAGGAGCTGGAATCTTTTCCCTTCTCCTAGCCTATTACTTAGTCTATTTAAGGGATGGCAGCCAAAGAGGAACAGCTTGTAATTTGCACCTGTCTGCTTTAAGTACTCCATGTTAGATTTTGCAGAGACCAAACTCTTCATTGCTAGTGAGAATGACACTTAGTGGGGTCAAACATATTTTAGCTGACTTTGCAGCAAGTGATAAATAAACAAATAAACAATTGCTCACTTCATTTAGACCTGTTCTAGCTAGAGAATGAGACTGAAAGAAAAGCATTGTCAAAAAAGGGCAGCTCAGTGTGTAGGTGGAAGATGTAACTCCATGTGCCTAGTCTGTATAGGTGGAAGATGTAACTCCATGTGCCTAGTCTAATACAACACCGGGCACAGACCAGCATGACTGAAACTGCACACCACCTACAGTAGCACACAGGACAGCTTTTGCCTCTTACCCCTATAAAATTCAGGACTGTTTCAGAAAATTACCTGGGTTGCCTTCTGGGGACTCACAGTATGCTTTGCCACCTATAGGAACAGGCCTATGAGAAAATTATTCTCTGAGAATTCAAAATAAATACATCCACCTACAGTAGCACACAGGACAGCTTTTGCCTCTTACCCCTATAAAATTCAGGACTGTTTCAGAAAATTACCTGGGTTGCCTTCTGGGGACTCACAGTATGCTTTGCCACCTATAGGAACAGGCCTATGAGAAAATTATTCTCTGAGAATTCAAAATAAATACATCTTTCACTCCTGATCAAGAAATGCAAGCACTGCCATGCAGAGATGCACTAACTGAAGTGTGAAGCAGGGAAGGTGTAGGTCAAGCCAATAACCCTGGTGTGATCTTTCAGCCTTACCTAAGCTACCTTGTAGCATGTTTGCTTCTTGCTAGTAAACAGGCATTGGCACTTTCAGTCAGCTGTGGTATCACTTAAAGAAATAACAATTACACCAGCATATTAGTTTAGTTACTTATAAGTAGTATTTTTTTCTTGCTTGCTCTTAAAATAGAAAAGCCCTCAAAAACTCAAGCTACAGAGCTGATGACGAGAACAAAAATGTTGAGGCAGGGGGGAATAGAAGGAAAATATAGCAGAACAGAATTTATTAAAGAAAACATTGGTGCTGCATTTTGATGTCATAAATTGTCCCCATTTGTACTTCCTGTTTAAACAATAACTAACATGATGGTGGGTTAAATGAAGTTGAGATTGTCACAAACATCGCCTCACTAGTAATTAATGTAGTTTAATATGGTTGTTGGCACACATCTCACATGACAGATAATGTTCCAACATGTCACTGATAGGACCTTTCAGCACAGCTTTAGGAGATCTACCAGGCATTGCTGAGGTTGGTTAGGTCAAAGGGTTGAACCATGTGTAATTCAGAACAGAGGAGGTCCCACGGTCACTCCACAAAAACAATTACACTACTTATTTCACTCCATCCCTTGCCTGAAATTCACAAGCCTCACAGTTTCAGCGCAGTCAATCTTGCTCTGCCCTGGGGCTGTGAGCCACATGAAAATATGTGGTGCTGTGTTTATAAATCTAATCAAAAATAGAAACAGTAGACAAGCACAATGAGGTCCTCCTATGGATCATGGGAATTCTCTAAATTCTGAAGGCACTTTTGTTTAACTTCTATGGGCCTTCTCCTACCATTACATTGTCTGGTACCCTCGTTAATCATCCCGTTGACTTGTCAATGATATAAAAAGGAGCCTACACGTCTGCTGACTCCCTCCCATCACACGACAAATAATATTATGAAATAGCAATGCAATAGGCCCTTTAATTTTTCTGGTTTAAAGCGTGGTTTTTCTTCACTTACCTCTTTCTCCATGCCAGGCTGCCCTTTTTCAGCCCTGCAGCAGAAAATGCTTCCTCCTGCAACAAAAGAGAGGGAGCATACCTGAATTCTCAGTTTGCACACAGTCATTAATACACCTACGTTTGACACACAGACTTGCAGAGCACCAGTCTAGGTGCCAGGGTGGTGGGGGAGCAAAGGGGGGCGTCTTTTCCCGCTGCTCCTGCTTTGCCAAAGAAAGGATATAGTGCTGATCCCCTACTTCATCTTTTTGAAAACAACTTTGGATCAGAACATATTTTTTTAAATGACTAACGAAGATAAACAAGAAAAACATGGTTTAAGCTCAAATGAAGTAACACCAACAAAGATGCAGCTTGGGGTGGAAGTAGCCCAGAAGTGGATGTTATCTACCCACAGGCAGTAGGTTGCTCAAATTATGTTGGGTTTGCTAGGGGATACACCTAACACAAAGATTACAGTACCAAAGCTGCCAGACTCAGGAACGTTTTGGTGTTCTGGCATTTAGGTTCCTCACTCCCTGTGTTGGGATTTTCATTAGAAGGACAGAAATTATCCTCTACTCCGGGCTACAGACATATGATAATCTTACAAGTCATCTATCACATCAACAAAAATGCCCTTTATTTTATACCAGTTACTTTTGTGTCTATAATGGGAAATATTAATTCAAAATGTTTAGATGGGTTAACCCTACACTAGCTGAAATAAATGGCAAAACTCAGGGTCTGCAGTTGCAGGACCTGAACAGGAATGAATAACAACCTTATTCCTTTGCCAGTTTTTCCCTTATGCATTTATACAACCATGCATTGAGATTATTTTGCAGGCCCTGAAAACAAAACAAGACTTTGTACAATTAAAAATATCCCTTCAGAGTCCCTCAGAAGCTTAAATTGACCTTTTGGGTCAGAAGATGCCCCGTACAAAGTACATGTTTGGCCCCAGTTGAGGAAACTCTCTCTCCTGAGGGCACCAGGCAAATAAATGCTTAATTCTAAGTATGCGCTTAAATTTCATTGAAATCAATACAATGGACAGTGGACAGAGCCGCACATTCTCCACAGAAAAAGGCAGCATTGTCACTTTGGTTGCTCAGTAATGAATGAAGGGCTGAGCTTTTGCCCAGGATTTGCTGACGCTGAGAGCCTGCTGACCTTTGCCATTGCCCCTCGATTTTGGTGCCCTCCTTGGGGTGCCAAGGCCATTGAGGCAATGCTGGGGGCTGTGATTCTGGAAACTGCTGCTTGTCATGCGGCCAACCCTGCCCAAACAGCCCCTGCAACATAGCCCGTTGCTGTCACAGAAACCACACCAAAACTCGTCTGCTGCATAACACTCTGTGGTATTGAAAAAAAAAAGCCCCACTGAGATCATGCTGGTAGGGTCAGGTCATACACCAAGTCATCATATGTCTCAGAAAACAACCCCAGAATCCTGATTCCAAAACCTGAAATGGGTTTTCTGGCCCAGGTAGTATCTCTGTCACTTTTCCAGCTGCTGTTCTAATCTGATCACAGGTCCAGAGAATGCAGCAGATAACTAGCTTTGAGTCCAACAGCATGGCACTTTCCTTGTGATGGCTCAAGCAAGAGCAGCAAAAAAGCATCTGTATGAACCAAAGACAACATAAAGCTTGAGATGGCTCCTCTCCTTTTCAAAGTAGAATCTCAAGAAGTTGCCAGCAGAAAAAATAAATAAATAAATTAAAATTATAAAGGTTTAAGCTGTAAATTCAACATTTTCATTCAAGGTGAACATCTGCTCATTGAAAAGGAGACAAAGATACAGCAATAAGAACTTCTAAAGTCATAATAGTCCCAGGAACTGAAGCATCAATAAGAAAACACGGAGTCTCATCTTATAGAATGTGATTGACAAGATTAGGAAAGCAAAGGCAGAGTAATATAAACAGTTTTGTTCAGAGGAGACAAATAACATTAGTGCCTTAAAAGTAATTTCCTTTGTAGATCAGAAAATTCCCTTTATCTGTTTTGGTTTTTTTTCTGGGGAATTTTTTGTTTGGGTGGAGAGCTACTTTGGTTGTTCTTTAAATGAAGGTGCTAGTCATGGTTTTTTCTTTTATTTTAATACCAATCAGGCAACACATTCAACACTGCATTAACTGATGTTGACTGTGGCTTTATTTAACCTCATTGTTCTATTTTTTTTAGCTGAACAACAGCTCAATCATTAGCATTAAACTGGTTTGCAGTCCCAAAAGAGTACAGCAAAAATATGTACATTATTTTTCCTCCAATAAAAAAACTCACACAACTTATTTCAGATCCCACCAGAGATTTTCTTTTATATCCATCAGATGTAATATTTTCTATGATTTAGGAGTGGACTTCAGTTATTTAAGTACATTTGGACTAAATTGACAAAGCAAAACAACCACTTACAAGTAATTAAACTTCATGCTTCCACTTTATATTATTTTTCCCCAGATTTCCTTTTTTTCCGTAAGACAAATACCTAAGGAAGCTGCATCAAATAAGCAACACAACCTAGTAGCTTTCTGTAATGAAAGTAATCTGGTTTTAATACAAAGTTGAAGGAATTAAAAGGAGGGAAATGAACAAAAAACTCTTATAGCACCACAACTGTATTGATGGGCTCCTGTTGCCAAACACAGATCTGGGAGAGATCAAAACAGAACTTCCCACTGAAGCAGACTGAGGTACCTCTTTCTCAAGCTAGTTGATACTTTACACTGTATGGGAACCTGCTGGGAACCACCTGGGTTGCATGAAGAGCCTGTATACAATAAGCACCTTGCAAATGTAGCCATAAAATGTACTGTTAGTGCCATGCTGGCATGCAGAAGGAGAACTGCTGCTTGTAGCCACTTACCCAGCATCTCCTTAAAGCACTCCCAAATGCACAGACAAATTACCATGGGCCAAGGACAGCAATGCTGGGCACAGCTAAGGCACTGGTGATTGCTCATAGAGAAATAGCAGGTTCATAGCAGGAGTAGCAAAGCAACAGTTTGTCATCATCGTGGCTGCCCTCACTCCTTTCTCACCTTCACCCAGTACACAATTCATCACATACTAAGAAGAAGTGCTGTGGGATCTCTGTGCTACAATATCAGCAGAAACCACTGAGTAAATGATAACTCTAACAACCTACTTGTAATTCCCTTTGGGCTCTCTCATAAATACCAGCTAGCCAGCATTGGTCTTTAAGAAGTATTTCTTCAGGGGAAAATTGCACCTCTGGTGAAGAAAACCCATCAGTCACTTAGATTCAGCAGGCCTGGCCTTTGAAGCCACAAGCACTGAGCTTATCCTTCTTTAACCCCCAATTTTGGGAGCAGGTCCTTCAAAGTAATCTCTGAACCTTTCTATCGTTTTTCCTTTTTTTTTTTTTTTTTTTTAATTTAAAGAGTAAGGAGTTTACTGCAAATATGCTTTTATAAAGATCATTAACACACTTAAAATTGAGCTCACATTCAATTACTTTGCTTGATAGGTTGTAATGTTCTTGTCCCTCTTCTATGTGCGTGAAGAAGTAGATGGATAAATTATTTTTTCTGAGTATAAACTTCAATAGGCAGCTAAGCATCACTCAGCTTCTTGCTCACACCTCTAACACAGCGGAACGGGGGGCAGAATCTTAAGGATGAAAGTGCAGAAACACTCATGGGTTGAGATAAATACAGTTCAGTTTGTTGGTTTTTTTTAAAGGAGGGAGGAGGGGGAAAGAAAAATAAGTGACACAAAAGAAAACAATTGCTTATCACCAACTGACCAATGCCCAGCCAGTCCCCACACAATGGCAGCCCCAGACAACCTCCATCCACTCCCCTTCACCCCCAGCTTTATTGCTGAACATGGTGACATCGTATGGTATGGAATATCCCTTCGGTCAGTTGGGGTCAGCTGTCCCAGCTGTGTTCCCTCCCAACTCTTTGTGCACCCCCAGCCCCCTAATTGGTAGGGCAGTACGCAGAGCAGAAAAGACTTTGGTGCTGTGTAAACATTGCTCAACCATAGCTAAAATATGCCTGTGTTATCAACACTTCCATCACAAATCCAAAACAGAGCCTCATGCAAGTTGCTATGAAGAAATTTAACTCCCAGTCAAAACCAGTACACTACATTGTGCCAAGAAATCCTGTGAAATTGGGAAATTCCAAATTTTAGTTTCTGTACCACCATTCCAAGATTCTGATTTCCCACCAAATAGAAAGTACCACACACAAACACTCATCAGGCTGCTTCAGAGCCTGGCTTATGGACATTCATAAAGTCCCAGGGCTCATATTTGAGAGCACTGAAATTTTTAGGAGTTGCCATCTGATAGGCAGTACTGGAGGAAGAGCAAAGGCACTCCAAGCCCAAACAAAAGGCTTCTCAGAAGGGTATGACAAGCTCCAGGTTTAGCTTGCCAGGCTTTTCTCTGACAGAGCTGCCCACTGCAAGGCTTAAGAACAGCTCAGATCGAGATGGTAGCAGGCAACAGGCTCAGGGGACTGAGCACAGTAAGGAAATGACATGTCTTATAGTTGCAGTCAACCTTAAACATCATCTTATTTCAGTTTTCCACTTGTAAACAGGTACTGTAATGCTCTGCATTACCTCCGTGACTCTTCCAGCCATGGTGGACTTCTGCCCACCTCTCTGGATGCGATGCTGCGGCACACCAGGAACCTCAACACTGCCACTGTCTTTATGCCTCCCTTCACATCCACACACCAGCCCTTAGCCAGCAAATAAAAAAAGGCTCTTTTCATCACAAAAAACTTCTGTGACTTGTAATTCTTAAATAACACAGACTCCACATTGCAGCAACACATCAGTTAGAAGCACTGAGTTGTACACAAAATCCTAAAAATATATATGTTTTGGAGCCAGTGTTTGTGCAAAAAACAATACTGTAAAATCTAAGGAGATACGTTATGCAAAGACAAATAAAAATCTAGACAGGTAGAAAATACTTACCATCAGGAAACATGCTAGAAAATATATTTTGACTATGCACAATTTTGGTGACAACAGCTCCAACTTCTTTTCAAAGTGTGCCAGGGTTTTCCCCCTAATTTAGTTCATTTTGTATCTGCCTGTATTAGAGAGAGAATTTAGCACTTCCTCATGAAGTACTACCATTTATTCTTTGGTTTCCCCTACCAGTATAAACAAAAGCCAAACAAACAAATTACTTTTATACACTTTGCAGTTTAGGAAATAGCCCTGTGATTATTGAACATTGTATTATTGTACATTTGTATAGGGACATTTCCCTGCACATGTGATCTACATTGGAGAAAGTCAGTTTTGTTGTTTATCAGTTACAGATTAAAATGTTAAACATATGTATAAAAAAGTAACATGAAAGATTTTTTTTTTATCTACATCTCTGTGAATTAAGCAAGCACATAAACAAAGATATGCTACACATTGGAAAAGACAAGAAAGTGCAAGTTTTGGAAATAGCACTTTTTACATATGTACCACTTTAGTTATCAATACTGATGCTAATAAAGCAGTAGTGTTCTTTCAGCCAAAGAGACAGAAATCATACTGTAAGAGCAATCCCAGAAAGAATACCTCTAGTGGTTCAAAACATATTTCACTTGCCTCCGGCATGGGTTTCTGGATTAGTGTCACATATGTGTCAACATGAAAACACATGGCCTATCTGATTATACATTTACATTATTCCTCTTCATGTTGCTCTATATGCCAGCTGATGTGGACTACACATATATATCAATATATTCAACCCAGTGAGCCTATTCTTCTGTTAGGTTCCCGTTGACAAGACAACCACTGAGTATAAATGAAGGGAAACTGAGGTAATGATGTCTATAACAGAAAAAAGGGACACAAAATGGGCAAGGACTTCACAGCACTGTTTCTACACTGCTCATTAGAAAGGGCATTAAGTAAAGACATTTTGACTAATGAGAAAAAAGAGCTGCAAATGGGTCTGATAAAACCCAGTTAGCTGATAAAACCCAGATGCATACAGCCTGAAGTCTGTAGTGGTTTCCACTAGTTTTCAACCAATCTGAGAGGAAAATAATGTCCAGCATGTTTTAAACAGGGTATTCTTGGCCAGCACACCTAGGTGCAAAGTTTCTTTGCTCCAGAAAACCAGCAAGCAGAACTCTGACTTAGGGATTTGAGTTCTTGAACCAAATCTTCCTTTGAAATAAATGCTAGCAATTTTTCATTTATTACATATAAAAAAAGCCACCTTAGGACCTTGAGCAAGAAAAGAGTAGTCAAACATGACTTGGC